TTTTTTCTCTTGCTCCATTTCCCTCTTACATAATCCCAGCCCTGCCGACGGCTGATTCGCCTCTTTAAAAACAATCAGGAAATGCCAAAGCAAAGATTTCTATGCTGGATTTTTATTTTTTTTTTCCCTTTTCCGGGATGTCTGGCTGGGAGCAGCGTGACCGGTGCTGTCCTGAGTGACACCAGCCCAGCACTGCCACCCCCAGCCTGGGGACATTGCCGCCACCCTGTCCCAAAACTCCTCAGGTGTCTGGGGCTCCCCACCTTGCCCTGGGGTGTCCCCCCGTGTCTGTCCCACCCCTGTGGCCCCTCGGCTGCGTTCCCTGCTCCGTTCCGCGCTGGAAAATGCGGGTAACTCGTGCCGGGCTGGAGCACAGAGCGCTCATTCACGGCTGCAGCTTTGCCAGGGCGCTCCAGGGAGACTCCGGGGAGACTCCGAGTCACGACCGCCCCTCCCTCCCCACGGGCGATCCGCGGGCTGGGGCTGCCAGCCCCGGGCTGGTTTGTGCCATGGGATCCTGGTTCCGCGGCTCTTCTGTCCTAAAATTGTGATCCCGGTCCTAAAATTGTGATCCCGGTCCTAAGATTGTGATCCCGGTCCCAAATTGTGATCCCAGCCTTTGCGTGCATCCTGGTTCCAAACTGATCCCGGTCCCGAATTGTGATCCCAGTTTGTGCATCCCGGTCCTAAACTGTGATCCCAGTCCCGAATTGTGATCCCAGTCCCGAATTGTGATCCCAGTCCAAATTGTGATCCCAGTCCAAATTGTGATCCCAGCTTTTGCATCCCAGTCCCGAATTGTGATCCCGGTCCCGAATTGTGATCCCAGTCCCGAATTGTGATCCCGGTCCCAAATCTGTGATCCCGGTCCCAAATCTGTGATCCCAGTTCCAAATTGTGATCCCAGTCCCAAACTGTGCATCCTCTGAGGCAGCGGGTGCCCCATGGCCGGGGCAAATGGGGCAGGGTTGGGGCTGTGATCGGTGATTTCAGGGGTGTGGCTGGGGCTGTTTGGGGTGTAACTGGCTCTGTTTTGGGGGTGTAACTGGGGCTGTTTTGGGGTGTAATGAACAATTTCAAGGGTGTAACTGGCTCTGTTTTGAGGGTGTAACTGGGGCTGTTTTGGGGTGTAACTGGGGCTGTTTTGGGGTGTAACCGGCTCTGGTTTTGGGGCTGGAATGGACAATTTCAGGTGTGTGGCTGGGGCTGTTCTGGGGGTGTAATGAATCATTTCAGGGGTGTTACTGAGGCTGTTTTGGGGTGTAACTGGCGCTGTTTTGAGGTTTAACTGGCACTGGTTTGGGTGTATAACAGACAATTTTAGTTGTGTAACTGGCACTGTTTGGGGGTGTTACTGAGGCTGTTTTTGGGGTGTAATTGGCTCTGGTTTGGGTGTATAACAGACAATTTCAGGGGTGTAACTGGCTCTGGTTTTGGGGTGTAATGAATAATTTCAGATGTTTAACTCTCACTGTTTTTGGGGTGTAACACCATTTCAGGTGTGTGACCGAGGCCGTTTTGGTGTCCCCAGGGGATTGGGGTTGTTCAGGGAAACTGAAAAATAGAAGTTTGACACTTGCATTATTTACCCTTTTTAACTTAATAATAGATTTCTGCGACTTTTAGGGTGACATTTGACTGACCAGCTAAAGGTTGAGTTAACCTGAGTTGTGTGAAGAAGAAGAACAAAGACACCACCCCAAAATTCTCCATCGTGTCCCGTACCCACCATTATTCTACAAAAAACTCAAATTTAAAACCCCTCACCCAGTGAAAACACATCTGACCCACCACACGTTTGTGATTTCGAACTCATTGTTCACATTTCCGAGCCTTCTCCAAGGTTTTGGGTTCAGTGCAGTGTTTTTCCAGGGAGGTCAAAAAACTCCAAATTTCTGGGGATCCAACACTGCCCCTCTGTCTTCCTTTATTAGTGACCACAATAAATTAGAGGGGATGACTAACTAGCCCTTTTTTTTTTTTTTTAGTAATACCTTATCCTTTTCAGTTATTTTTTTATTATTATTTTTAATTAGTTGTCTATTTTTTTTATTATATACTTGTGGTTACTTTTAAGGGAAATTTTGTCCATTTGGAATTAAGGCTTCTTTAGCTGCTGCCTCACCCTTTGCTGATTCTTTTGTCTCTGTGTTTATTTTCTTTCTCTAATTCTGAGCTCACCTTCTGCTGTGTTTTAATTTGCACGATTGTTATTTTCTTAGGTAGCTGAACTGCTTTGAGTTTTAGTTACGTGGGTTTTTTTTATTTTTTAAAGTTGTTTACTTAAAGTTATTATATATGCAGTCAGTTTTGTTTTTTTTTCTTGCCTGGGTAGTCATCCTCTTTTGGACCCCATATGGTTTTCTAGAAAGAATTTTAAAAGGGCTTAACGTTTTTTTTTTTTTGGTTGTTGTTGTTTTAGGTTTAGTCCCAATTTGCAGCAGTGCTGGAGGGCGAGCTTAGGGGCTAGGGCAAATTAATTTCTTGTTTGAACTTTAAAATTTATTAATTATTTATGGATTAAATGATTCGTTCTCCACTTGTCCACTTGGGTGTGGACAATTCACACCCAAATATCGCCTCGCCCGCTGCACGATTTTGGAGCTCAGGTGGATCTCGTATCAAATTCCCTTCGTTACCTCTGCACGATTTTCCATTCCCGGTGAACGAAATCCCCTTCCCAGTGCCTCAACCGTGTCCCCTTCGTGTCCCCACAGCTGCTGTGACCCCGTGCACCTCCCCACGGGTGCCCCAGGCCGTGCCCATGGACCTGAGGATCGGGCAGCGAGTGGTCAAGCCCCAGGACTCGGCGCTGCTGGCCCTGAAGCAGCAGCAGCTGCAGCACCAGCTCTTCCTGGCCAGCCTGCACCAGCAGCAAGTGGAGCAGCTCGCCCACCAGCACAGGGTAAAGGGGACCCCCAATCCCATTTTTTTTTTTTTTTTTTTTTTTTTTTTTTAGGGGGTGGGATCGTGGAAAGTGAATTTTTTGCGCCGTGGCGGAATTGAGTTTTTTCCCTCTCTCCGGGCAGGGGGTTCAGAGGAAAAAGGCTGGGAAATCCCAACATAACCAAAATAACATTGCCAGGTGAATTCCTGCTTTCTCTCTGAGCTGGAACATCTGGAGGGGTTTCCAGGCAGCCCAGGGGACCTCTCTGACGGAGGGAGGCAGGTGGGGGTTGTGTTTTAATTCTGGCCAAATCCCGGTCCTGCCAAGGCCAGAGGTGTCCAGAGGTGTCCAGAGGTTTCCAGAGGTTTCCAGAGGTTTCCAGAGGTGTCCAGCTGTGCTGGAGCAGGAGCCCGAGCGGCTTCCAGGGGATCCCTGCGGGCCAGGAGCTGCCCCTCCCCGGCCACCGCTGCTGCCGTGCCCCGGGGGGTGACACCGAGCTCCGGGGTCGTGGTCACCAAAAAAAAAAAAAAAAAAAAAAACCCAGAGGGGTTTTGGGGAGGGGGTTGGAGCCTCTGGGAGACTCTGGAGGGAGGGAGGTGGGGAGGACGCGAGCAGGGAGATGTGACAAGTTCGGGGATTAAATATTAAATATTGAAATATTTAAATATTTAAATATTTGTGGCAAGGTCAGAGAGGCGTGACAAGGTCAGGGAGTTGTGGCCACATCCAGAGAGTTGTGATCGTGTCCAAGGAATTGTGACAAGTCCAGGGGGCTGTGACAAGTCCAGGGAGTTGTGACGGTGCTCAAGGAGTTCTGATAATGTCCAGGGGTTTGTGATCCCATCCAGGGGTTTGTGACCATTCCCAGGGGTTTGTGACCATTCCCAGGAGGTTGTGACCATCTTCAGGCACCGAGATCCCCCTGCCCGTCCCCAGAGCTGCTCAGTTCAGCTGGGATTTCCCTCATATCACAGATTTTTATTTTTTTTTTCCCCCCCCTCCTTTGGTGCTCAACAAATTTATATTTATTTTTTTTTTTGCCGTGTTTCAACACGGCCCCGCTCCAGCCGTGTCCCAACACGCTGGGAGGAGGCAGCGAAGTGGGAACAGACGGGGATTGACTTTTATGATGTCCCCGGGGGAGGGGGAGGGAGGGAGAGCAAAGCGTCCCTGGAGACCAAAACGTGTCTGGTTTGTTGTGATGGAACAACTTCGCACGTTCCCATCAGCCAGGAGTGACACGAGGGACCGCCCCAAATGTCACCGTGTCCCCCTGCCTTGGGCTGGGGAGGGGTTGGGTGGGCTCGGGTGGGCTCGGGGGAGGTTGGGGACGCCCCGTGCCCATGTCCTGGTCCCACAGGTGGCCATGGAGTCCCCGCACCGCGAGGCTGAGCCGGGGCAGCAGGAGCAGGAGCTGCGGCAAATCCTCAACAAGGACAAGAGCAAGAGGAGTGAGAGCTCCCTGTGCCCCGGGGGAGGGTCCAGGGGGGCTTTTGGGAGGGGGCTCGGGGGGTTCTGCCCTTACTCAGAGCGGGCTCTGCCTTCCTGTGGGGGAAACGGGTGGGGGAGCATCCACAGAGAGCCCACTGGGACCCCCGGGCTGGGTTTTCAGAGCCCCGGGCTGGGTTTTCAGACCCCCGGGCTGGGTTTTCAGACCCCCAGGTTGGTTTTTCAGACCCCCGGGCTGTTTTTTCAGACCCCCGGGCTGGGTTTTCAGACCCCCAGACTGGGTTTTCAGACCCCCAGGATGGATTTTCAGACCCCTGGGCTGGGTTTGCAGCCCCCCAGACTGGTTTTTCAGACTCCCAGACTGGTTTTTCAGACCCCCAGACCGGGTTTGCAGCCCCCTCCCACCCGCAGTCTCCCGGCGCCCTCTGGAGGAGCTGCCGGCGGCTCGTTCCCAATTTTGGGATGCTCGGGGGGCTCCACATCGCACCTAATTAATTATTAATCAATTAATTGCCTTGCGCTCGGAGGTGCCGAGTGCTGGCACGGATCCGTGGAGCGTTCCCGGCTCGGGAACGGGATGGGGGCAGGACCCAGCTCTGCCTCTCGGGGGTCTCCAGGAGTTTTGGGGTCGGGGTCGTGGCCACAGGGACCCCTCAGAGCGGCTCTGAGCGCTGTGGGGTCACTGGGATTGGGGTCCGGGATGGAACTGGGGTCCAGGATAGGATTGGGTCAGGATGGGATTGGGGTCCAGGATGGGGTCCAGGATGGATTTGGGTTTCAGGATGGGGTCCGGGATGGGGTCTGGGATGGGGTCCAGGATGGGATCCAGGATGGGATTGGGATCCAGGATGGGTCCAGGATGGATTTGGGTTTCAGCATGGGATTGGGGTCCGGGATGGATTTGGGGTCGGGGATGGGGTTCAGGATGGAATTGGGGTCTAGGATAGGATTGGTCAGGATGGGATTGGGATCCAGGATGGGGTCCAGGATGGATTTGGGGTCAGGATGGGATTGGGATCCAGGATGGGGTCCAGGATGGATTTGGGGTCAGGATGGGATTGGGATCCAGGATGGGGTCCAGGATGGATTTGGGTTTCAGGATGGGATTGGGATCCAGGATGGATTTGGGGTCCGGGATGGGGTCACCGTGGTCACTCTGGTCACCACCGTGGTCACCGTGGTCACGGTGCAGGTGCTGTGGCCAGCACGGTGGTGAAGCAGAAATTGGCCGAGGTCATCCTGAAGAAGCAGCAGGCGGCTCTGGAGAGGACCAGCAACCCCCCCCCTGCAGCCCTGCCCTACAGGTAAAGCACCTGGGCACCCTCTGCCCCTGCCTGGCGCCTGCACAGGTGTGTAACAAACATCTGCACAGGTGTGTAACAAACATCTGCACAGGTGTGTAACAAACACCTGCACAGGTGTGTAACATCTGCACAGGTGTGTGACAAACACCTGCACAGGTGTGTAACAAATACCTGTCCAGGTGTGTAACAAATACCTGTCCAGGTGTGTAACATCTGCACAGGTGTGTAACCAACACCTGCACAGGTGTGTAACAAATACCTGCACAGGTGTGTAACAAACATCTGCACAGGTGTGTAACAAACACCTGCACAGGTGTGTAACAAATACCTGCATAGGTGTGTAACAAACATCTGCACAGGTGTGTAACAAACACCTGCCCAGGTGTGTGACACGTGCCCAGGTGCAGCTGGGAATGGCTCTGGCTCTCCCCGCAGGTCTCTGGAGCCCCTGGAGCCCGAGGGTCCCTCCCCCGCCGTGCTCGGCTCCTTCCTGTCCCCCGTGCCCAGCGCCGCTCTCGACCCCCCCGAGCATTTCCCGCTGCGGAAAACGGGTGAGGCCTCGGGAATGTCCCCGTGTCCCCCAAAGCCTCGGGAATGTCCCCGTGTCCCTCAAAGCCTCGGGAATGTCCCCGTGTCCCTCAAGGTCTCAGGGATGTCCCCGTGTCCCTCAACTCTTCGGGAATGTCCCCGTGTCCCTCAGAGTCTTGGGAATGTCCCCGTGTCCTTCAAAGTCTTGGGAATGTCCCTCCGGGCCTTGGGAATGTCCCCGTGTCCCTCAAGATGTCAGAAATGTCCCCGTGTCCCTCATGGCATCAGGAATGTCCCTGTGTCCCTCAATTCTTCGGGAATGTCCCCGTGTCCCTTAAGATGTTGGGAATGTCCCCGTGTCCCTGATCCCTGGCTGGAGTTGGGCACTGGCCCATGGAGACCTCACCTGTCCCCACCTGTCCCCACCTGTCCCCACCTGTCCCTTCCTGTCCCCACCTGTCCCCACGTGTCCCTCCCTGTCCTCACCTGTCCCCACCTGTCCCCCGCTGTCCCCGCAGCCTCCGAGCCCAACCTGAAGGTTCGCTGCAAGCCCCGCAAGTGCCTGGAGCGGCGCAAGAACCCCCTGACCCGCAAGGAGAGCGCCCCGCCCTCGCTG